ACTGCAGAGCTTCCAAATAGATCTTCCTGAATTTGCCCCTGCTCTGCTCCAGTCTGTTTTTCATATTGTAGTTATAAGTACTCTTTTATAAACTCAAATCTGAACTTTACTCTCCTGCTTAAAAACTGTTAATGAATTATTTTTACATTGGGTTTATCAACAAGATAAAGTCAGGTTTTTCATGATCCACCTCCTTCCTAGTTCTTTAGCTTCATTCATCTGCAGCCTTCCCTTGGACCCTTCTCTGTTTTGCTCTATAGTTCAGCCAGTGTGGACGTCTTTTGGTTCTTTGAACACAAGTTTTCTCTGTACTTTGCCTGTTTTTCCTTCTGCATGGGATAAATAGAGGTGTGGATGTGGATATATATGTGTAGGTATATATCTTAAGATATATACTTTTGTCTTTTATTTTTTGGTCTTTTATATTTTGCCTCAAACCTTAGAAAGCTTTCATTAATCTCTCCAAACATGTCAGCTCTCTACGTTATGTGTTTTCATGGTACCCAGTAATTTTTGTTGTAACATCACAGTTTAATTATATAAAATGTATGTGATTATTTGACTAATGTCCATTTCCTCACTGGATCATAAGTGCTAAGAAGGTAGATTCTATACTCTTTGCTCATCACTGTATCATTGGTGCCTATTAAAACATGAGAGAATAAATGTAGTCAGCCAGGACTCATGTAAGGTGTTAGAAGTAGGAACAGGTGAGCATTCTGGGAAAAGAAGGAAATAGTTGCAGTTAGAATACAGTAAAGTGATGAAATGGGGCGGGTAGGAAGAATACGGTAAAGTGAGTTTTATATTAAGGTTATGTATTGACCCAGCGTAGTTCACTAATATATTTCCTGTTGAGGCAGAAATTAGTTTTAGATCATGGGCATCCCTGAGCTATAACGGTTCCAATCTGCATGGAAGAACAGGAGGAGTGGAAGGAGGAGATCACTTTTGGCAGATGTAAAGTTAGGGAAGGAACCGATGCTTTGGTGGAGGAAGCCCTGTTCTGTGATAGGAAACTTTGTTTCTATTCCAGCTATGATATTGTTTTGTTCTGTACCCTTGGGAAAGATGTGATATGATGTTGGAGAAGTCACCAATTGTGTTTACATTTATTTCTGTGACTATATAATGAGATAATAGAAATATTCTTTATTTCTTAATGTATGATAAAAATGAATGAGATAGCAGAGGTAAAAACGTTTTTTAAAGTATTAAAGCACTTTATAAATTAGGGTTAATATTTGTCCAGAATATGGGAAATCATTTTTAGAATTTCTGTTCTTTTCATTCATAATTAGAAGAAAGAAGTGCCTAAAAGAAAAGGTGGTTATGGCATGAAAAACCCTATCTCCTATGGCCACTACATTCTAAGTTCTGTAAGAATGTGTTCATATCAGTTTACTTACTGTTTTTCCTGTGCACACAGTACCTAATAGGTTTCTAGAAATTATTTTTGAATGAATGATGTATAGTGGATTGTTCTGAAGGTCTTTGTGATTGGCATTCTGTGATTTCTTTTCCTTGTAGGCATTCTGCAGAAAGGAATGATCTGAGGTAAGACTCTTGATGTTTGTGTTTATTTTTCTTGTATTTCAGATGTGGCAGAAGTAAAACTTCGAGATGATCAATACACACTGGAACACATGCATGCTTTTGGAATGTACAATTACTTACACTGTGATTCATGGTATCAGGACAGTGTCTACTACATTGATAACCTTGGAAGAATTATGAATTTAACAGTGATGCTGGTAAGAAAAACATATATAATAATAGGATTTTCCAATAAATTTGATCTTTTATTTTCCCTTTGAATCCAATACATGGAGAGTTGAGGTTCATGTATCTTTAGTATATGGAATCCTATCAACAGTCTACATAAGGCACCATTTCTGCTTAATTCAATTTTAATTTTCTCTTTTTTCCTGTTGCTTACACTTCCCCTCCACTCCCACCACTGGGCAATCACTCTAATGGATTTTATATATTAATACTGATGTAATTTTATGTCTGCTTTTCCTTTGTGAGGTGTTGTCGCTAAGTATAATAGTGGGTTTTTCTGTTTTGCCTTTCAGTTAATTTTTGCTTTATATATTTACAACTACGTTAATTGGGTACAGACATTTAGGATTGTTTTGTCACTATGAATTGATCCTTTTAGCATTATGAAATGTCCCTTTTTATCTCTAAGCTCTGGGAATAATTTTTGTCTTGAAATATGTGTCTGAATTAATATAGTGATTGCTGGCTTTTTTTAAATTAAATTTATCTTTTTCTATCATTTTTTCTTTCAGTTTATCAGTGTTCTTATTTTTAAAGTGGGTTGCTTATAAAGAGCACATAATTGGGTCTTGTTTTTTATCCAGTATGACCATCTCTTTTAATTGGTAGTCTTAGTACATTGGTATTTTATTTAATGTAGTTATTGATATTCCAGAGTTTTTCTTACTATCTTGATATTTCTTTTGACTTTGTCCTGTCTGTTCTTTGTTCTTTATTGTCTCTGTTTTCCTTTTTTTGAGGGATTAATCAAGGTTTTTCTTTTTAAAAAAATTTTCTTAAAATTCCATTTAATTTTCTCTTTGGGGTTTTCATCTACACCTGCTTGTTCTTTATTGTCTCTGTTTTCCTTTTTTTGAGGGATTAATCAAGGTTTTTCTTTTTAAAAAATTTTTCTTAAAATTCCATTTAATTTTCTCTTTGGGGTTTTCATCTACACCTGCTTGTATTATTATTATTATTATTATTATTATTATTATGTTAGATTTTTTTAGCAGAGGGGAGTAAGATGTACTATTGTTTTTAGTGGTTAAGGTAGAGATTATGGTATTTATCTTTAACTTATCACAGTCTGCCTCTAATTAATATTATTTCACTTAACAAACAGTGTAAAAACCTTACAATAATGTCATTCCTTTCACCTCCCCCTCACTGTTTGAGCTATTTTTGTTATATATTTTATTTCTTCATATGTTATAAACTCCACAATACATTGTTAATATATTTAGGGAGGTAAAGTAGTTAGTAGAAAGGGAACTAGATATTTAAATCATACTTGCTAACCGAGTTAATTTTAACATGTTTATTGAAAACCTACTTGTTGCAGGGCACTGTGATATATATTCCAGTACTTATATGTTGTATTTTTTAGATGCTAAGATAAGGTGAATGTACATGTAACTATTACATGGTAATAGTGTTAAAGCTGTCAAAAAGGATACAATGAATTCTCCATATATCCTTGGCTTCAGTTTCCTTGTCTAAAAGGATGATGATAAGGTTTTTCAAAGGTTAAAGCAAAGTGTGTGAAAATGCTTTAAAAAGTGGAAGGCAGGCCGGCCCGGTGGCGCACTGCTACAGTGCGCTGCTTGGGAGCGAGGTGGCGCTCCTGCCGAGGGTTCGGATCCTACATACAGACCGGTTCCTGCTCACTGGCTGAGCGAGGTGCGGGTGCAACACTGATGGTTGTGATCCCGTTGCCGGTCCCCGTCCAGTATGGGCGCGACACTGAGGGTTGCGATCTGTTGCCGGACATGAAAAAAGACAAAAAAAAAAAAAAAAGTGGAAGGCATATACAAATATAAAGAGGTGTTAACATAGGCCTTGGGATATGTCAGCTTACTGAAGACAAGTACCAGATGGTCTTTGCTACACTTACCCCTTCTTTGAGAGCAATAGAACTGTATGACAAGAATCAATTACAATAATACCAGGTAACCTTTATTGAGTAGAGATTATTACATCTCAGGAACATTTCTAAGCACTTTATATGTATTAACTGTTTAATCTACACAAGAACCATGTGAGATAGATAACTATTATTATCCACATGTCACAGTTGAGGAAACTGAGGCATAGAGATGTTTGTAACTTGTCAAAATCAAACAGCTATCAAATGGCAGAGTCCGAATTTGAACTGGTTTATTCCAGAGTGCCACAATGTTCTACCGATTCTCCTCATAACTGCTTAAGAGATGGACAGTCTAGCAAGGTAAAAAATGTTATGTGGTATTCTCCAAGCAGGCAAGAGTACCCTTTGGCACTGACAAACTACCAAAAAAAAAAAAAAAAAGCCAGCTTAAAATTTTTGTTCCAAGTGTTAAATTCTGTATCTTTTTCCTAATCCTAAAATTTGCTCAGTGCTGTGTTGGTAAATGAACAACTGGCTCTCTGGGGGGAGAGGAGATGGGGGTTGATTTGCAGAGATTGGCAATTTCTGTGGAGTAAAATACTGTCACCATGGCCAATTTGAAGCTACTCATTGTAAAATTCCTAGAAATTTAATACTTGGCTTCCATGAGTTAGTAGGAGTTGGCTTTAGCACATTCTGCATTTGCTAGAACTAAATAATTTAAAGAATGAAAAAGGAGAAACTAAAGAGTGAAAATTGTACCTTTTCTCTCATTTAAATTTGATAAGGGATGGTCACTTCTTTTACTTTTCCTCACTTCCTACAATAGTGATTTTTTGTTTTCTTTTTCAAAGAGGAAAGAATGAATAAGGTTACGAGTTTCCGTAAGCAGAAAATCTTTTTTGCAACAGAAATTCTTCTCTGGAAAAAAATAAAAGCCTTTGGTCTTAAGCATTAGACTACTGTTGAAGAACTAATAGTCAGTTAAACAGCTTTTATGATAAGCACAGTGTCTACAGTGGAAAATTTGAGCACTAATTGGATATTTCATGATATTAAGGAATTATTATTATTACTTTAGGTAAGTTAATGATATTGTGGATTTTTTTACAAGTCCTGTTAGAGATAGGTACCAAAATACTTCAGAGGGAATGACCAGGATTTGCTTCGCAGTAATGTGGATATATGTGTAGGACAAACAAGATTGACCATTTACTGATAATTATTGAAGCTGGGTGATGGGTATATGTAGGTTTATTATATTTACCTACTTTGGTATATGTTAGAAATTTTTCATTAAAAAAGTAAAAATAAGAAGTTACAAAAGAAAAATATCTCAGTCATCTTCTTATGTAGGCTTCTAGTTTCTTCAAGAGACAGTGCTTTTTATAGTGGGAACACTTTTATGGTGTACTTTTATGGTATACATTTGTGCTGTGGACTTAATTGTCTTCCTACAAAATTCATATGTTGAAGCCCTAACCACCAATGTAACTGTATTTAGAGATATAGCTTTTAGGAGGTAATTAAGGTTAATTAAATGAAGTCATAGGGTGAGGTTCTAATCCAGTAGGGCTGGCGGTCTTATAAGAAGAGGAAGAGAGTTCTGTCTCTCTCTGTCCACATGCACACACTGAGAAAGGCCGTCTGGAAGCCAGGAAGAGAGCTCTCATCAGAAACTGACCTTACTGGACCTTGATGTGGGACTTCCAGCTTTAGACCTGTGAGAAATAAATTTCTTTTAAGCTGCCCAATCTATGCTGAATTGTTATAGTAGCCCAAGCAGACTAGTCCAGTTATATATAGTTTTAGACCTGGCTCTGCCATGGACAGATGAGTTCTGTGACCTTGGGCAAATCACTTCTTCCTTTTTGGAGTCCTGTGTGTTCATGAGAAAATAAAAGTCCTAAATCTGATCAGTGTTATCTGTGAAGCCTCCGAACCCTAGGGTATTCCTTGGAGCTGACCTCAGAGGCCACTGCATAGGCAGGGAAGACCACCTGTCTTCCACCTACCCCCTTAAATGCTACAGATGCAGCTCTAAATATTTGTCTTTTCCACGTGAAATTTCCTTTACAGAAGAGATTCCCTGGCAAAAACAAGTTTGACAATTGGATAAGATTACCTCTTAGACTCTATCTAGTACTTCATTATGTTATTACCTGAATCATAAATGATCATTCTAAACAATGTGTTGTTAGTTTCAGTTTCCAATTATATTGATCATTTTCGTATTTCCTCTAGCAGGTTGTAGCATTTCACTGTTTTCAGCCTTTGAATTTGCTGGCAGGCAGCTTATGGACTAGAAGTCAGGGACCTGGCTAATCTACAGAGAGAGTTGTATTTCTTTTTTTTTTTTTTTTCCTTTTTGTCTTTTTCCGTGTCCGGCAACGGATCGCAACCCTCAGTGTCGCCCCCGTACCGGACCGGGACCGGCAACGGGATTGCAACCCTCGGTGTTGCTCTCGCGCCTCGCTCAGCCAGTGAGCGGGAACCGGTCTGTATGTGGGATCCGAACCCTCGGCGGGAGCGCCGCCACGCTTCCCAAGCGGCGCACTATAGCAGTGCGCCACCTGGCCGGCCCGAGAGTTGTATTTCTGAAATAATGATTTTTGACTATAAGTGCACATATATAGTATAACTGCTGTTGTCAAACAGTTGCTTAAAGTTTTTATGTCATGGTCTTTAGACTCATGTGCTTATTTATTTAAAATCATTAGGGAAGAAGAAGAAAATTAAGACTGTCTTAAGAAGAAAAGAGTTACACACGAGTCGTTAGTGTAGGTGTTGTGCTTCCCTCATCTTTCTTATAACTCTGCTCCTTTGTGAAGGGATGATTCAGACTATTCACATCAAATTGCCTCATTTGTTCTCTATCCTCTGAATAGTTTCAAAGCTTTTTATATCATGTACTTATGATTAATTTGGCCTATTTGTGTTATCTCTTTAGTCTTTAAAAGTTTCCACCATTATTCATTAGTGAGCTATCATTTCTTGTTTTTTTTTTTTCTCTTTTAAAATTTTGTTCAGTAAATTACAAATAATTTTCTCTTATGGAACATTTTTAGTGAAACCTGGTGGTAGTAGTTTAAATAAATGTCTTGTTTCTCCATCTTTGGG